TGATGTGTGTCAGTAAGACTCATCCATCCTGTAATGATTGACTAACACATGGTTCTGATGTGTGTGTCAGTAAGATCATCCATCCTGTAATGATTGACTAACACACAGTTCTGATGTGTGTCAGTAAGACTCATCCATCCTGTAATGATTGACTAACATACGGTTCTGATGTGTGTCAGTAAGACTCATCCATCCTGTAATGATTGACTAACACATGGTTCTGATGTGTGTGTCAGTAAGATCATCCATCCTGTAATGATTGACTAACACACGGTTCTGATGTGTGTCAGTAAGACTCATCCATCCTGTAATGATTGACTGACACACGGTTCTGATGTGTGTCAGTAAGACTCATCCATACTGTAATGATTGACTGACACACGGTTCTGATGTGTGTCAGTAAGACACATCCATCCTGTAATGATTGACTAACACACGGTTCTGATGTGTGTCAGTAAAACTCATCCATCCTGTAATGATTGACTGACACACGGTTCTGATGTGTGTCAGTAAGATTCATCTATCCTGTAATGATTGACTAACACACGGTTCTGATGTGTGTCAGTAAGACTCATCCATCCTGTAATGATTGATTAACACACAGTTCTGATGTGTGTCAGTAAGACTCATCCATCCTGTAATGATTGACTAACACACGGTTCTGATGTGTGTCAGTAAGACTCATCCATACTGTAATGATTGACTAACACATGGTTCTGATGTGTGTCAGTAAGACTCATCCATCCTGTAATGATTGACTCATGTCAGCATGATCAGACTTTTTGTTGGAAACACACACTTCACACTTTGAGTTTACTATAATATTAATCATTCAAACATAAGTAGCCCAAAGCTCAGTTTTTTCAATGGGTATTACTGTCTAGGTAGTCTGCAGTTAAAAATTAGGGACAGCTAAACATAGTAGACCTTAGTGTGAAAGGGATATTATTAGTTTATATGTATGTGTGTGTGTTTATTTTCGGTAGGTATATCCTGTTCATTTACCTCACATGTTAAAACTTACCTTTTCAATACAAATGGACTATCTCAGCTTTTAATTGATGTGTTTTAGTTGATGTTTTTTAGTTGATACTAAAATCAACTTGTCACAGACAATACAAGATGATTAATTCAGCTTAATGTAAGAAAAAACTATCAGGATTTTTCAATAAAAAGTCTTTATAATCATATATTTTATACATAAAGATACTACTTCTGGCCAAGTCTGTGTAGTCAACATACAGTTAAAATGTATAGGTTAACCTGAAGGTTGAAACATTGTTCTTGTACTTTATTTTAATACCCATACGAGCCATTTCTGTTATACATTTTTTACTTCAAGTGGGTTTTTCGTCATTATTAATTAACAACGTACAGTTACTACTACTGGCTACGTCTGTGTAACCAACCTACAGTTACTACTTCTGGCTAAATGTGTCAATCAGTCAGCAGTGAGAGTGTTTTAATTCTTTATTCTAAACTGTGTTAGTTTTATTGTTCATTATGTCAAGGTATTTGGTACTTTTTTTCATGATCTTAGTAAGTAAATCATTTATTACTAGTGTTCAGCCTGCCAAGTTGTAATTTATAGACACAGACTAAAATTATTATATGTTTGCTGATTTATAATCACTGTAAAATTCTGTTTTTGAAGAATGTTTTTATGGAAACAGTCAGTAACGAAACACATGAAAGAATAAAACTCTTAAAGTTATCAAGTAATAGTTGAATATTTATAGAGTATAAATCCTCCGAGTGATAAAGGAAGCCAAGTTTATTTGAAATAGTAAAGACCCAGAACTGTCTGGTTGAGAAATGTTGTTGGTTGTTTGATTTTCCAGAACCGTATGGTTGAATCTATGAAGCTTTTCGACTCTATATGTAACAACCAGTGGTTTATACGTACTGCCATGATTCTGTTTCTTAACAAGAAGGATTTATTTGAAGAAAAGATAACTCGGTCACCACTGACCATCTGTTACCCAGAGTACACAGGTAAGTTTTCTTATATTGTTCAATTTTATAAATAGTGCCTCTTAATGTTACCAAAGATTAACATGAAATTTGTACTTCTCCGAAGCGTAGGCTGTAGATTTGTATAAACAGATCTGACAATGAAGGACTCTGTTCAAAACTACTTTTCTGTTTTGGTAAGAGAAACTTGTAAGAATGAAAAACATATTCTATTATTTCAGGAACTAACTGTTATGAAGAGGCTGGTGCCTATATCCAGAAAATGTTTGAAGACCTTAACAAACGGAAAGGTACTAAAGAAGTTTACACTCACTTTACCTGCGCTACGGATACAAATAACATACAGTTTGTGTTTGATGCCGTCACAGATGTTATAATCAAAATCAATCTTAAAGACTGTGGTTTATTCTAATTTTTCTACACGTTTTAGGGACCTTTTGTTAACGTAATGTTTGCTCACAACTTGTTGAACAGCCTTTACATTTCAGTAGTAAAATAAACAGTTCTAGAATTATTTTTATAAACACCAAACTTGTGATCAGGTTTACTAAGTACAAAAACTCTTTTTTTTTAATATTTAGTGTAACAACCAGTATTTTCATTATCACCTGGACATTGATTTGGTTTTAATACATAAATTGTTTGTAGCTAGGCTTGTTTTGATGATGTAAATAAAACAAGAAACTTGTTCTAAGTGAACTTCATGGAGCATAATAATTGGTCGAGTTTTAATTTCATTTTTAATATCTTACTTTATATGTGAAAAGTGTTTAACCAGTTTTCTTTTAAATCTTAATAATATGTGTGAGGTATTAAGCATTTTGTAAATAAAAATGTCTTGGTCATTTGTTAGTGAAAATACCTAATATGTATTATTATAAACCAGAAACTGTAAGGTGAAACTTAAAAAGTGCCTTAAATACAAAAGTTAATACATTTTGAAAGTATGTTTAACCTTTGCTGTTTTATTTACCTGATACTGCTTATTTGTATGATTGAAAATTGTAGAAAAACGTTTTATAAAGAAAATATTTTATCTTTATATTAAAATTCTTAATTAGCCAAATTATATGTATTTTCAATTTAATTAAGATATTACAGTTCACTATTGTTAAAAAAAAGTAATGTCTGATTATTGCAGAATTTGTAAAGTGTGAAAAGTTAACCTCAGTACTGTAACATAAAACTCATGCAGATCTGTAAAGTGTGAAAAGTTAACCTCAGTACTTTAACATAACACACACATAGATCTATCTATAATGTGTGAAAAGTTAACCTCAGTACTGTAACATAACACACACATAGATCTGTAAAGTGTGAAAAGTTAACCTCAGTACTTTAACATAACACACACATAGATCTATCTATAATGTGTGAAAAGTTAACCTCAGTACTGTAACATAAAACACACAGATCTATCTGTAAAGTGTGAAAAGTTAACCTCAGTACTGTAACATAACACACACATAGATCTGTAAAGTGTGAAAAGTTAGCCTGAGTACTGTAACATAAAACACACACAGATCTGTAAAGTGTGAAAAGTTAATCTCAGTACTGTAACATAACACACATTTTGGTGCCAGATCTCGATAACGATGGGTTAAACCAATTTATTTCCCTTTCTTGGTCAGTATCTTAGATACAAATACCATATAACGATGGGTTAAACCAATTTATTTCCCTTTCTTGGTCAGTATCTTAGATACAAATACCAGATAACGATGGGTTAAACCAATTTATTTCCCTTTCTTGGTCAGTATCTTAGATACAAATACCAGATAATGATGGGTTATTCATATCTTCTAATACTGTGCAACATTTTTGTGAAATGTTTTAAAACTGAATTATTTCCATTAACACAAACCTTTCAGAAATTCTATGGTTTAGGTAGGATGAAAGATTCTGGTAACGTTTTCAACAACCTTGAATATTTGGAGAATTTGTTAATTTGTTTCCATAAATGGGTTAAAACATCCATTATTTATTAAGAGTCTATAAAATATGTCACTTCTCAATGCTTGAATATGAAATAAAAAATATATTTTCAAAGAATTACCCTTTCCACAATGTTGACGGATAGGTTTCAAAAATGGAGGGGGTCTGTCCCCCCCCCCCCCCCCCCCCCCCCAGTGGACGTGTTCTTGTGCATGTTGTAAGAGTATTTAGAGAAATTTGGCAACGTGAATACTACACAACCATAACCATCGTTATAGAATCTCAAAATGAACAGTGAAAACTATTTTGTTGAGATTTTGGGTTTTTCTTTTCCGTATCGATTTAATACCACGAAAACACACAATTGTGTAGAGAAATTTGTAAAATTTATTCCAATATTATTTTCATACAATTTCATTGTTTTTCTGATTTATTATTCACTGGTTCAAGAGAATAATATATATTTTTTTTTACAACTCTTTACACTTTTGGTTCAAAAATTTTGTTATTAACTCGGTACGTCAAAATATATATTCATGTCAATCTAAAATAACAGGAAAGATAAGTGTTCAAAATATATGTCTAATCAATAATTTCTCACAAGAATGGACTTTGTTTACGGCCTCATGGAAGATTTTGTTATATAATCACTGTGACTACACGATTATTAACTACAGTACCATGCCAGAGGTTGTCTTTATGGCACACGTTTCTTTACAATTTATAAAACTAATACTTTGATCTATTACCAACATCTACTATCACCATTGCTTGTAGTGTACATCTTATAAATCCTGTTCTTCTGTAATACATTAATATACTCGGTATCAAAATAAATAACCAGACATATTCAGTACAACCTAGTTCTTATCTGTCTCTCACAGCCTATAACCTTAACCCTTATAGTTTCTGTTATTAATCTTCACCTTTCTCTCACAGCCTATAACCTTAACCCTTATAGTTTCTGTTATTAATCCTCACCTTTTTCTCATGGCCTGTAACCTTAACCTGTCATTAATCCTCACCTTTCTCTCACAGCCTATAACCTTAACCCTTATAGTTTCTGTCATTAATCCTCACCTTTCTCTCACAGCCTATAACCTTAACCCTCATAGTTTCTGTTATTAATCCTCACGTTTCTATCATGGCCTATAACTTTAACCCTTATAGTTTCTGTTATTAATCCTCACCTTTCTCTCACAGCCTATAACCTTAACCCTTATAGTTTCTGTTATTAATCCTCACCTTTCTCTCACAGCCTATAACCTTAACCCTCATAGTTTCTGTTATTAATCCTCACGTTTCTATCATGGCCTATAACCTTAACCCTTATAGTTTCTGTTATTAATCCTCACCTTTCTATCATGGCCTATAACCTTAACCCTTATAGTTTCTGTTATTAATCCTCACCTTTCTATCATGGCCTATAACTTTAACCCTTATAATTTCTGTTATTAATCCTCACCTTTCTCTCACAGCCTGTAACCTTTATACTAATTACTTCATTAACCTTTACAGGAACCAATCTGTAAGCATTATTTTTGGATAACTTTCCTAAATGTAATCACAACGTTTTTACATATATAATGACACCATGTCTTTAAGAACCAAAACGTTTGTTTTCAATACGAACTTTAATGAATGTTTTACATGGATTTTAGTGTTTGGTAGGATATCTTAGGCCAGTGTACACAAATTTGGTTACTATATCTATCTGAAAAGTTTAACAATGTAATATTTTCCAACAGTTTGCTCATTCTTCAGTTACTTCTGCATACTTAATGAGTAAAAATATGGTTAAGCCAGTCTAATGGCCTCTGTGAAGTCAGCGTTGACTTGAAGGAAGATGGAAGAAGTCGCCAGCAACCCCACAAGGCCAGACTTAGAACTGATATCTTTAGGGTGTGGCGAAAGACTTTAGCAGCAAGAGATGGTTCAGGAACACTAGTGAAAATATGATGATTACTTCAAGTAACACGTATACCGTTATAACACCATTACTGTCTTAGAAACTACTTCAAGTAACACGTATACTGTTATAACACCATTACAGTCTTATAAACTACTTCAAGTAACACGTATACCGTTACAACACCATTACAGTCTTATAAACTACTTCAAGTAACACGTATACCGTTACAACACCATTACAGTCTTATAAACTACTTCAAGTAACACGTATACCGTTACAACACCATTACAGTCTTATAAACTACTTCAAGTAACATGTATACCATTATAACACCATTATAGTCTTAGAAACTACTTCAAGTAACATGTATACCGTTATAACACCATTATATTCTTAGAAACTACTTCAAGTAACATGTATACCGTTATAACACCATTATATTCTTAGAAACTACTTCAAGTAACATGTATACCGTTAAAACACCATTATATTCTTAGAAACTACTTCAAGTAACATGTATACTGTTACACCATTATATTCTTATAAACTATATCAAGTGACATGTATACCGTTATAACACCATTACAAGTAACATGTATACCGTTATAACACCATTACAAGTAACATGTATACCGTTCTTGTGTTATAAAGATATTAAGAAGACTTACATTAGAAGAGGAGTAATATCAGCATCAGATATTTTCTCCCAGTTTTCAACGATCCCTGGTACGTGGCCAATACCTACTACTCCAACAACTACCGAAGGTTTCATTCCTGTTAAAAGTATTGTTTTATTAACTCCTATACCTGAGGAATACAATGTTGGTTTGCACAGTTATGATACAGCTGCTTGTAAAATATTATCCTTTCATCCAAACTCAAAGTAATGTATAATTATCAGTATGTTCTGCTAAGTTTAGTTGAAGAGTTCTTTCTCAGAATGAAACCGTTCAGGAACTCCACTTGTTAGCAGAACCACGATAGTCACATGAGGAACTTTAAATAGAAGTTTAAACTTCTGCTATCTTCTCTCTACTAATATTCATCTTATTAATGTGAAACCCTTTTTTGAATGCTCTTCAAGTGTTTAAAATGTAATTATTTTGACACCAGAACCTCGGATAAAGTAGAAAAACATCAACATGTTATTTTATAACACTAACTTCTTCATATAGAATATTACAGGTTTTGTTTTTCACATACACAAGAATATTTCAGTTATTCAGGAAAAATTATATAGCAGTTAAAAACTGAAGAATAAAATTACTACCTATTAGGAGAAACAAGTACCTACCACTAGGTGGTTCTGGAGAATAAAATTAATATCTATTAGGAGAAACAAGGACCTACCACTAGGTGGTTCTGGAGAATAAAATCTATTTATTAAGAGAAACAAGTACCTACCACTAGGTGGTTCTGGAGAATAAAATCAATATTTATTAAGAGAAACAAGTACCTACCACTAGGTGGTTCTGGAGAATAAAATCTATTTATTAAGAGAAACAAATTTTATTCTCCAGAACCACCTAGTGGTAGGTACTCAATATCTATTAAGAGAAACAAGTACCTACCACTAGGTGGTTCTGGAGAATAAAATCAACCAATATATTAAGAGAAACAAGTACCTACCACTAGGTGATTTGGGATCTTGAAGTGGAGTTGCTGCAAGGCGAAGAGAATATGCTAGATACATATCTCTCTCTTTCACAAACACCGTGCTTAGTGCAGGAAACTCTCCAGTCATCTCTGCCAGCATCTCTTCGAGAAGGTCTCTCTGCTTACATTTTTCAACCTCTTCTTTACTAATGACAAAACATTAAATCTGTCAAAATTTTTAAATTATTAATTTCAATAAAGAATCTTACCACCACTGTTTTTCAGGACTTCTCTGAAAACAATGGCAGAGGAACTTAAACATATAACCAAAAAAAACCTGAATTTCAGTTGGGCTATCAGATGGGTTACTAGCTATTGCAACGAAGACAGACATGTCTTTACAAACAACGTTTAACTTTCTTGCAACAAAGACAGAAATGTCTTTACAAACAACATTCAACTTTCTCGCAACAGGCTTGGTCGCTTCAATCTCAAAATTGACCCCAAACTGACCTTCAGAGTTTCCATACTGCTATAACTTATAATAAGTTTTATGTATATTCACAAATTTTCCCATGCTTTCAGTAATCATTAAATCATTTGTAGACAAAAAATCTGAATTTTTAATCAAGCATTTTCACTAAAAGTTTTTTTGTGAATATATGCAGTTAAGCCTTTTACTACAAGCTGGGTGGATTTGACCCAACTTGTAACCAGGAAATTATACTATAACTGTTGAAAATGTTCACAAGTCTTTACAAAATTTTGCAGATTATTGGTAACCATTTCATACACAAAAGATTTGGTTGTTGAATTATGTTTTAAGATTATTCTATTAAAGATTTCCTTGTGAATTTTTTCTTTCAGAGTGCTGACTATCCAATATGCGAAGTAATTTTGATTTTAAGATTAAAAATACTTTTCTTTATCTGAAATTTGTCTAGTTTCATTTACATAATCTCTATATATCCCTCTAGATAATCATCAAACTTTTAAGAATAAAATTTTATATTTAATCCGTTATTTTATCAGTGTTATCTCTATATGGTGTTGATCGATTTGACCGACCTCGTAACCATCATAAAAATTAGGAAATAAATCTAAATTACATTTTGTTCTAGAATAACTGCAAATTGTAATAGAAAACCACAAGTGTTTATTCTAAATAGCTTAAATCTTTTTACAGTATAATACTATTTATATTATATTATTATATTTTATTATTATTATATTTATGT